ACAGAATCCGAAACACTTCCAAACTGAGCTGTCAGCACAGAGCCCAACACAGGGCTCAAACTCATGGATCTGAGCTGAGGATCTGAGCCAACGCTTAACCAGAGGAGCCACCCAGGTGCCCCTACTGTGACATTTTAAATGAGTGATACAATTGTACCATTGAATTTTAATCAGTGTGTAAAACTTATTTATTTATTTTTACTGTGACTGGCAGTTTATCTTCTACCTGAGAGGACAGTTTAAATTTAAACTGAGCAGGTCCCATAATTTATTCATGGTGAGTTCAGCTTTCTTTTAGCAACAAATAAGAAGTGGTGCATAATGTGAAGCTGGTACCAAAGAAACATCTCCACTTCTAGGAAGATGCAAAAAAAAAAAAAAAAATGCATAGTAAATGAGGTTGCCAAGTTAAGCAAATAAAAATACAGCATGCCCAGTTAAATTTGAATTTCAGAAAAACAAATTAATTTTTTAGCAATATTTGGGATATAATTAAAATATATGTGCATTATCTAGAATTCATATTTAACTGAGCATATGGTATTTTATATGGCAAGTCTAATAGTAAATCTACTCTAACAGCAACACCAGAGGGACGACTGCTTAGAAAATGGTATTACACAGCAGTTTAATTCCTACAAGTGTTTCTCCAAAAATTATAGTACGCAAAAGTATGCCAAGAGCTCAAAATAGTTGGAAGCACCTGTTTACCAGAAGAGGAAGTTTTCAAGGACCGAGAGGGTCATGGCTAAGTTGAATTAAAAATACATTTAACTCTAGGGGCACCTGGGTGGCTCAGTCGGTTGAGCGTCCAGCTTCGGCTCAGTTTATGATCTCATGGTTCATGGGTTCAAGCCCCGTGTAAGGCTCTGTGCTGACAGCTAGCTCAGAGCCTGGAGCCTGTTTCAGATTCTGTATCTCCCTCTCTCTCTCTCTGACCCTCCCCTGCTCACGCTTGCTCGCTCTCTCTCTCTCTCAGAAATAAAAAAACAGACAAACAAAACCCCCACATTTAACTCTTATACATTCCAACCAAGAGTTCAGGTTCATAGTGGCTAAAGATTACTAAAATAATTTATGCTGTTGTGGAAGAAGTCCAAGCAAATACTTGGAAAAAAGTGGAGGCACCAGGGTGACTCAGTGGGGTAAGCATCCTACTTTGTTTTGCTCAGGTCATGATCTCATGGTTGGTGAGTTTGAGCCCCATGTATGGCTCTGCGCTGACAGCACAGAGCGAGCTTCAGATTCTGTCTCTCTCTGCTCCTGCCCCTCTTGTGTGTGTTCTCTCTCTCAAAAATGAGTAAATATTAAAAAGTGGTTTAATATGAGTTAATCTTATTTCCAAGTCTCTGAGAGAGCTTACTTAAAAAGAAGTACATTGGTACAACTTGCAGTCTTGCTAATAAACTCTAGTGAACCATGTAATAATTTAAACAAGATAAAAGGAAAGTAAAGAAACAGACACCCCAGTAGCCAAGGAAAAGAATTTCCTAACAGATAAAAATGTATTCTATGGACAGGTAGAATTTCCAAAAAGAATTTTCTAAGTCACAAAATGCTTTTTCTGTCAAATATGGTCAGGGTGGTACAAGTGTTTGAATGCTAAGAAATAATTTTCTTAATAATAAGAAGAAATAATTTTCACAGTATCACAGATTAGTGGCTACAGATTGGGGATAGTACCTACAAATATAAAGAATCGAGTGTTAATAAGACATTAAACAATAGCAGTTTCCAAAATGTGCTGATCAGGTTTTTTTCTTTGTGTTGACTGTTAAGAAAGTTCAGAGCCAGATTTGTGTCCCATATCTCTTAAAATACAGTACAGCATAGCTTGTTTTATAATCCTATCTCTGGCTTCCTCTTTTCCACTCCTTAATTTATTTTAATCCACATTTCCATTAAAAGAAAGCTATCTGTATGAAGCAAGCCATATTATCTGTTGTAATTGGCACCATTATTTGGGAAGTTAAATAGAATAAGAATATATAAATATGCTCCACCTTAACTAGCTTTTAAACACCTTAAGTTAAAACGTTCAGTGACATTTTGAACTTTAAATTGTATTCTGTTTTTTAACTTAAATTTAGTATTTTAACTGAAAAGAGATGTATATTTGCCATTTTTTGTTAACAGGAGACCAGAGTCATCTTTGTATATGGCTTTATTGATTACAGTTTTTCTCTGCAGAAAACATTGCAAAGTATGTAAGCTTTCTAATGAATTTTTTTTTAATGTGGAGCAAAGTTTGTAAAAACACTTACAAAACTGCAGGATCCTAGATCTTACAGTATTCTGCCACCATCCAGATTTCAGTGGTTCACATATATATTTTTTTAATGTTTTTATTTTGTCTAATGTTATTTATTTTTGAGAGAGAAAAAGAGGGCACAAGCTGGAGAGGGGCAGAGAGAGGGAGAGGGAGGATCTGAAGCAGTCTGTGCTGTCTTCACAGAGCCCAATGGGGGGTCTCAAACTCGCCAACTATGAGATCATGACCTGACCTGAAGTCAGATGCCCGGTCCACTAAGCCACCCAGGCGTCCCTCACATAATTTTCAAGTTGTTTTCCTTCCTAGTGACTTATATTTGTTGAATCTTTTCTTAAGAATTCAACAAAGGTTTTCTATATGCTTTGAAAACTATTTATGAAAAATTTCAAGTAGTACAGAAAATGAAACACTTGTGTTACATGCCACCAAGTTTTATCTTCCATAAATATCTTTAAAAAGGTTCCTTCCTCCTTAGATGTATATATACCACAAATTTGTATTTCTTCTTTTTTTAATTTATTTATTTATTTTGAGAGAGAGAAAGCCTGCACATGTGGACGTGTGCCCAGGGAAGGAGCAGAGAGAAAGGAACAAGGAGAATCCCAACCGGGCTCTGTGCTGACAAGGCAGCACGTAGGGCTCCATCTCATGAACCATGAGATCAAGACCTGAGCTGAAATCAAGAGTTGCGGGTCACTGAACCCACTGAGCCACCTAAATGCCCCAAATTTGGTATTTCTTAATCTGATGTATATTTTAGCATGATTCATTTTTTTATCCATAAACCATATACACTGTTTTGTGTGTGTTTAAAATTTTAAATAAATGGTATATATCCTTTTACAACTTTATCACCTCAGATTGTCTTTGAGATTTATCCATGTTGATTCATAGAATTCCTGTAGGCTAGTCATGTTGCCTGTCCTGTAGAAGTCCCTGATGAGTAACCCATGGTGTCTCATTCTTAAAATTGGGTTCTTTTCCAACTTTTCTTTGAAAATAAATACTCAAAGTCCTTGTGCTCATGTGGGACATATATTTTTCTGGCATTGACACCTAGAGCTGAAAGTGCAAGGTCCTGGGATGTGGAATTCTTTAATTTTGTCAGAAATTGCCAAAAACACTCTACAGCCATTGCAGTTTATATTCCTACCAGTGTATAAGGAGCATGTAAGAGTTGGCCACATCTTAATCAGCACTAGGTTATCAGATTTTAAAATTTTGCCAAGCGAATGTTTGACAAGTGATATTTAATTTACTTTTTTTTTTTTTTTTTTAACAACAATAAAGGTTGAACATCTTTGCATAACATTTTTTGGCTATTTTATTCTCGTCCTCTGTGAATTGCCTATCTGTTTTTTGTTTTTGTTTTTGTTTTTAGTTTTCTAATGGGTTCTTTGTCATTTTCTAATTGATTTGTAGAAGTCAGGATTTTTTTTTTTGTATATTTGGTATAATAATCCTAACCATACTTTTCAAGTGTGGCTGTTTTTCTCCCTTTAGAATTATAAGGAAATGTTTAATTTTGACGTATAATCAGGTATATCCATCTTTTTCCTTTGGTATGTGCTTTCTTGTTTGAGAAATTCTCCCAATGACATAAAGTTTTCTGTATTGTCTTTCTTTTTTTAAATGTTTATTTAGTTTTGAGAGAGACAGAGCATGAGTGGGGAAAGGACAGAGGGAGAGGAAGAGAAAGAATCCCAAGATTGTGAGATCATGACCTGAGCCAAAACCAAGAGTTGGAAGCCTAACCAGCTGAGCCATCCAGGCTCACATCCTTTCTGTGTTTTCTTTTAAACATTTGTACATTTTTTCTTTTCCTGTTTATTTAATCTGTCTGGAATGATTTTTGTTTGTGAGAAAGAGATCTTAGTCTGTCTTTTTCCATGTGGTTAGCTCGTTATCCCCTAATCTTTTAATCTTCTCCCCCATTAAGGTATAATACCCTGTAACACTGATTTTATAAAATCATGTGTCATATACCACACCAAACCCTCATCTTTTTATGGATTTATCTATACTATACTGATACCACAGTTTTAATAGTAATAGCTTTATAGCAAATAAATAACTTGCTTTGTTTTCCTTCAAGACTACCTTGACTTTCTTGGATTTTTACTCTGCCAAGTAAATGAAATGCTAAATTCCAAGGTGGAATGAGTGGAATACTGAGATTTTATTGGAATAGTATTGAATTTATAGATAAAATTGGTGGAGAATATATATACTTTGGTCAGATTTCCCATGATTAATTTCTACATTTATTTAGGATATCTTTTTTGTCTTTCTGTTTGATAATTTTCTTCGTAAAAGTCCTGCATATCTAATGTTTATTGTAGGCTTTTGGTAAATGCCATTCTATTCCTTGCTTATTAAGAGTTTCTTTTATGGGGCACCTGGGTGGCTCAGTCGGTTAAGTGTCCAACTTCAGCTCAGGTCATGATCTTACGGTTCGTGGGTTCGAGCCCTGCGTCCTCGGCTCTGTGCTGACAGCTAGCTCAGAGCCTGGAGCCCGCTTCACATGCTATATCTCCCTCTCTCTCTGACCCTCCCCTGCTCGCGCTCACTCACTCTCTCTCAGAAATAAATAAAGCATTAAAAATATATATATATTAAAAAAAAGAGTTTCTTTTAAGTAAGTGTTGAATTTCAGCAAACGCTTTTTCAGCAGTTTACCAGATAAAAAGTTTGCAGCACGAATCTGACTCTTCAATGTTTTCTCTAGGGCAATCAACACATGACCTACTAGAGAGAGATCTGTACACAAAATCTAACAAGGGAAATTTGCTAGAATCAAGAGTGATGGATCCATGTTCCGTTGGAGTCCAGCTCCGTACCACGAATGAGTGTCATAAAACCTACTATACTCGTCACACAGGTTTCAAGACTTTGCAAGAACTGTCATCAAATGATATGCTTTTACTTCAACTTAGAACTGGAATGACACTTTCTGGGAACAACACCATTTGCTTCCATCATGCAAAAATTTACATTGACAGATTTGAGGATTTGCAGAAGTCATGTTGTGATCCATTTAACATACACAAAAAACTAGCCAAAAAAAATTTGCATGTAATTGACTTAGATGATGCCACTTTTCTGAGTGCAAAATTTGGAAGACAGCTTGTACCTGGGTGGAAGCTTTGTCCAAAATGTACACAGATAATCAATGGAAGTGTGGATGTTGATTCCGAAGATCGGCAGAGAAGAAAACCTGATTCAGATGTATGTATGGCAGCCATTTTTTTCTGCTGTATTACTTCTACAATGTGGGGTTTTGTTGAACTATAAAGAAATCATTTATATTATTACTTATTATACTAATTATAAATTAAAGTTGGGGAGGTGAAAGTAAATGGTTTTCTAAATATTTCCATGTATCCAGACTGGATGATAAACCAGGCTTGAGAAAGAAATAACATACATGCCCAAGACTTAAGCTGTAACTCCCAGGGCTAAGATGTCAGGAGTGGCTTTTAGAACATCCTGGTAAAGCCAGGATCTAATTAGTATTGTAGTTTCATTTCTAATACCAAAGTAACTCAGTGAGACATGCCTGCCAGTGAAGATCTGTATAGAACAATGAATTCCCCTTATGAAAGACTTGAAAATTACCACTTTAAAATAAACACCAGAGAAATGTCTTCCAATAATTGTTTCTTCAACCTTTCTTTTTTCTTTGGCATTAATACCATTCTCGTTTGAGTTTTTTAGATGCTTGGGAGTTTCCTTTGCTTCTAGCTCTGAATTCTTACTTGGTATGATCGGGCTAATTTTAGTACTCCCTATGGTCAAAAAGCATACATTTTTACATTGTAAATACTAAATATTTAAAACTCTCCCTTATTCACATGCCTACATTCAGATTATTTAACTATATCAGAAAAAAACCCTGAGATTGAGATTTCATAAAGCTATCTGGGTATAGAACAAAGACAGGTGTATCAAAGGAGCACTTTTCAAAATTTCTATTTATAACCCATTTATAATTCTTGCTGCTGGGATATTTTTCTCAATTTCCTCCTTTTCATTATATTAATAAACCAAATTAAAAGATAATTAAAATTTTAAATTATATGTAGTACTTCCCTTTTGTTCTCCCCTCAAAGGACCCAGTGTTACCTTGCAGTTCCTACTAGGTACTTGCTACTGTCACTATAGATATCTTCTCCATTTCATTTATCTGTTGCTCTGTTTAATGTATCACATAAACTGTTTTTTCCCCCAGATAACCAACTTAAATCCTTAACCATCAAAATTTTGTTTTACCAACGCTTTTTAAAAAGATGATAATACTACTGTTTCAGGACTTGAAACCATATTATCTCTCTGCTTTTAAATATATATAGAATTATAGAATTTTAAGGACTCAAGATCATATTAGGAGCCTCAGTTTTTGTTTTTATTTTTGTTTCTGTTAAAGATTTTTTTAAGGTAATGTCTACACCAGCATGGGCTTGAACTCAACCCAAGATCAAGAGTTGCACACTCCACTGGCTGAGCCAGTCAGGTGCCCCAGGAAACTCAGTTATATACTGTTGGGTCACACAGCAGTTTTTCTGCCTTTTCTTCCATATTGGCAGGAACCATAGCAGTTTTCACCAGGCTTATCACTCCTTCTAATAGGCCAGAGACTAAAATTAGGTAATGAAAATATTACAGATAAGTTAACCAATAACCTCTGGATATTGTCTAGGGCTGTATAAATTTTGTTGTACTTGGGCTCTCAAACCTTTTTCTTTTTTGTGAATTCCAGACTGTCCTTCAGGTTAAGGAATAATTGGGATTAACATTAAGTTAAATATTAATCTATTCATAGTCTGCTGTCAAGATTTGAGTTGATAATTTGTTTACCTTTATTCAGGGAAGAACTGCTAAAGCTTTGAGGTCATTGCAATTTGCAAACCCAGGAAAGCAAACTGAATTTGCTCCAGAAACTGGTAAAAGAGAAAAAAGAAGGCTCACAAAAAATGCAACTGCTGGTTCTGACAGGTAGGCTGTGTGTTCCCTGAAGACCTGTGTTAACCTGCTGCTTCATGTCTGTTATTGTTTCACATCTTTCTTTGGAGTTTTGAATTTTCTGGGTGGAATTTTAAACTGGATAATCTGCGATGAGTAAGAATCTCCAAGGGCTGCATATAAAATGAAGGCATCCCTTTCAGCTCTAAAAATTTATTTCTAAGGAAGTGTCAATGAAGTGAACAAGTTAACATGTTTGGCGTGAGAACTAAAATTCAAACATATTTAAAACAATTTTTTGAAAAGTATCGGTATTATGTAATTGGTATATCACCTTTCTATGGGTGGCAGCCAAAAAGTAAATCTTAGGAAAATTCAAGGTTGCTTTTTATTTTTTACATGTCTGAAATAGAAAGTTATGGTACAGTCAACAGAACAAATGAGAAACTAAATTGTTTAGAATATGACTTTTTAAACTGAACATTTCTAAACTAAACTAAACTGGCTCAAGAGGTTAAGTGTCTGGCTTTTGGTTTCTGCTCGGGTCATGGTCTCACAGATTGTAGGACGGAGCCCTGCATAGGGGCAGGGGCCGGCAATGCAGAGCCTGCCTGGGAAAACACAGGTGGGACAAAGAAATGTTAGCATAATCATTCAGAATTATTTTCTATGTATGCCATTTATTCCATCTGTTAAGGTTTTCCATTGAGCCTTTGAAGTGTTTTTAGGTCAGATTTGCTTGAGTCCATTAAAGAACAAGAAACAGATTAATTGCAGTATAAAAACCGATAGGGTAATAGAGATTGGTAACCAACAAAATGTACCATTATTAAGCAGCCTGTTGTTGTTGTTGTTAAGGGAAGGGGAAAATATTTTTAACAGAAATAATACTTTTTTAGAAATAGTTCTGGGCCATTCCTTTACTGAGTTGACTTTTAAATGGACTTCTAGAGACATATTCAGACCCTTTGGATTTGTCTCAACAATTTAGAATGAGGTCTCTTCTTCTCACAACAGAGTTCATTTACTTACTAGTGATTATAAAGTAGGCTTGAGTCTGGTAAGTTGTGTGCCTGTTTTGCAGGACTTCATCCGTAATTCAAAATATTTTACTTCCTTCCATTTTTTTTAATCTTTTTTCAGTTAATCAAAAATAACATTTTTTTGAAGTGTCATTGATCTTGTGTTTCCTTTTCCAGACAAGTGATACCAGCAAAGAGTAAGGTCTACGATAGCCAGGGCCTGCTGATTTTCAGTGGAATGGACCTCTGTGACTGTCTTGATGAAGACTGTTTAGGATGTTTCTATGCTTGTCCAGCCTGTGGTTCCACCAAATGCGGAGCTGAATGCCGCTGTGACCGCAAGTGGCTATACGAACAAATCGAAATCGAAGGAGGAGAAATCATTCATAACAAACATGCGGGATAATTTGTGGTATCAAATTGTAGGGAAAGATCCCATTTCTGTTTCTAAAACTCTGTCACTGTCAGAAGCATTCTAAAGTTGATTGCCAAATGATGAAAATTTGAAAACCACCTCAGCATGCAGTCATTGTGCACTAGTGTTACACTTAGGGTGCTTTAAGATTTATTATTTGATATCAGTTTACATGGGCTTTTACTCAGCAGTCAGCTTTAAGCCTGTCTGGGTCAATGTCAACAAGTGGGTAAAGGCAGTCCTCCATTAGCACAGTTCAAATTTCACTCCCACAGTATATACTGTGACTGGTTACAAGAAGTACAAACTTCCCTGCTGGCTCTTTGTCCATAAGTCATTATGTAACAGATATGCCTCCTCATCAGTAACCAATCAGTGACCTTCTCTCAGATCCCTCTAGTGGTTGGTTACCGCATATCTGTCATTCAGTTTGCTCCTAGACAGCAAAGCGTGTGGTTGTCTCGTCTCCATGTCACCCATGTGACATTTTACAAAAGTGGGTCATCAAAATAACTGGCCACCAAAGGTAAAAGTGCAGTGAGGAAATGAAAAACGATCGTGCTAGATGTGAGATTTGCATTGAATGTAGATGGAGTTGTAGGAGAAATCGCTGATGGGGATGTTGACAGTGCTTTTTCTAGATCCTCCGTATGCATCTAGAGGAAGCTCGCAGAGGGAGGCAATGTAAATAGGGAAATTGGCCGTGATGAGAAGCTTGAATATATGCCAGAAGATGTGATAGTAAGAAACTTCACGTTAAAGGAAACTACAGTGATTTTACAACATTGAAAGCACAAAAGAGGAGATGGTAGAAGTGGATCCAAACTTGAGTATTTGCAGTGATATAGGTCAGATGCCTATGTAGTATCCCAAGTTAGCAAAAAGGCAGACTGCTCTTGATTAGTTTTTTGCAACGAAATAATGCTTTAATTCTCAGTGCTTCTAAAGCTTTAAAATGCAGTATACTAAAATACTTTCTTATACAATGTTTTCATTTTCTTTTACATTTATAACTGACAGTTTTTAATATTTTGACAGGTTTTTGGAGGTCACAAAACATTTTCCCCATTGATTATTAAGCTTGCTTTGAATGGCCATTTTTATGGTCCACCGCTACTGTGTAAGCCAAGGATTGTAGCTGAGAACAGTGCCTACTTCAGGAAAAGTTAATTTGGATAAAACTAGGTGGTTTAGTCTTAAAACTATCTTGGAAATAATCTACATATCTAAATGCTAAAATTCTTCTAACTACTTACCCTTAAAGAAAAAGTTTTAGCATTGTAAACCTTTCATTGTTTAGACCATACATTCTTGGTGAAAATTTGTTCTTGGTGGCAAAGATCTTATTATGTATAAAGTGTGGATATTCATATAATATTATAAACAGGGATACATGGTATCTTAAAGTTTTGTAAGGTGGTAATTAGGATCCAAGGGGCTAAAAAAAAGGCTTTAAGGAAATAGTAATGAAAAGGGAAAAAAGTGGAGAAACATTGGTAGAGACGGAATATAAATTATTTGGAAATTGATTGAATCTTGATGTACTGGTTTTGTATGGAACTCCTATGGGTGCTGTTTGGAGAATGCGAATGGGTGATAACTTCTCTGCCCCTTTTTCAAGCAGCTACCTGTCTGTCTAAAATCTTTTGTCAGCGAGGCCATTGCCACTAAACTAGGTTTTTGCTTTGTTTTCCCTAAGTTATAGTACTTCAGTTTAAGATAAGCTTTTAGTAGTTTCAAATATGTTTTAGTCATTGAAACCAAGTTTATGCAGCTAGTTTGATTGGATTGACCAGTGGAGGTTTATTTTTATTTCTGTATACTTAGGTATCTGTGTAACAGGTTTTACTTTGATGGAATGCCATTTTGAACCATGTATTTTCATTAATTTATAATTGTCCACTGACCTAGTTATCAGAACTATAGTTAGTATCAATTCTTTAATTCACATTTGAACAGAACACTGGCAAAAAAATACTTTGGCTTTATATACTTAAATTAGATGACTAGTTTTTTTTGGAGTTTTTCTTTCTGAATTAAGGAAATATTTTGTTATAGAAGATACAGACACTTCTAATTTTATCTGAACTTCTGGGTTCATTAGACCTTAGTTGCATTACTACCAATTTTTTTTTTTTCCCCTTTGGTTATAAGTAAGTATGACTTATATTGCTTAAGCTTTTCAGGGGCACCTGGGTGGCTCAGTCAGTTAAGTGTTATACTTCAGCTCAGGTCATAATCTCATAATCTCATGGTTCTGTGCTGACAGCTCAGAGCCTGGAGCCTGCTTCGGATTCTGTGTCTCCCTCTCTCTGCTCCTGTTCCCCCCACCACCCCCCAACCCCCCCACCCCCCGCTCACAATCTGTCTCTCTCAAAAAATAAAAAAACATTAATAAGCAAATAATCTTAGATTTTTTGTTTAAAATAGGAATATATATTTTCAACAGAATATATGACTTTAAAATTCAAATTCTTTATATTTCAATAGTCCTTATAATATTTCTGTGTTATTTTTCAAAGATGGTAATAGTTAATTTGTTTCAAGGATAAATTTCTTTAATAATTTTGCTTATATTTGTTCATTATGCCTATGTAAGAGACCAGACTTTTAGTGAGCATGCAAAATGTTTACAGAGAGAGGTGTATCTAATTTAGACTATGCTATAATAAAAGCTGTGTTTTGAGAAAATTACATCATGAGTTCACTTACTATTTTTTACTGTAGAATTACAGAAATACAGAATATAATGAAATCATCTAAATTCTTTTTATATTTTTCATAAGTATGGTTCAAGGTAGCTAAATTATTTCAGAATACTATTAGTCTAAAAAGCAAAAATAAAAGTGATAAGAACACTTCTTACCTTCTGTAGTATATGGGTCCTGCTTGAGAAGCTAATATAAGGCCATGAACATTGGTCTTACACAGTGTTGGTCACAAACGTTAAAAAGTACATTTATATATTTGAAATAATGGCATCCCATCTGATCTTTTTCTATTTCTTTTCCAAGCATAAGAAAATAGTTACCTCTGAAATATTATTCATGAGATTCTTCTGTGTTTTTAAATATTATATCTACATCTGTATAACAAGCTGTTTTACCACATGACAGAAAATTCTCTAGAGAAATGCATTCATGTCCTTTGAGACCCTCCCAGGTTCAGAATCCCTGAATATGTATCAGAGAACCTAGGTAATAGGAGTATTCTGTAAAGCAAAAAAAAAAAAAATTTTTTTTTTTTTAAAATGGGGTGGCTGTCCGCAGTGTAGTTTAGTTTGCTGTACAGTGTTGTAGGTGGGTTTTGTTGGACAAAATCTGAGCAGTCAGTTCTTTGAAAGAGCCTGTTGCTGCTCTGAAAAGGCAGATCCCACTTCGGCCCCCCAGCCCCACCCTTCCTGGGTCAAGTAACAATGTATGAAACCACAGAGTCTTTTTTTTTTCCTAATAGTTTATTGTCAAATTAGTTTACACATAACACTCAGTGCTCATCTCCACAAGTGCCCTCCTCCATGCCCATCCCCCCTCCTCCCCACATCCATCAGTCCTCAGTTTTTGTCATCATTCAGAGTCTTAAATGGACTGCGCTTTGGTAATTGGAGATTAGGGATCCTTGTATGGAGTCAGATGGCACTGCCTTAGTTTTTGCTGACATCTGCTGGTATCTTGATGTAACTAAACTCTGCTGCTGCTACTTAATGCCTTATCACTTCACTTCTGAATTAAACTGAACACTAGTAATTACATTGAAGTAGAATATTTTAAAGAACCCTTTAAAATATTAAAGGTAAATAAGTAAAAAGTAAAATGGTTTCTCTTTGTAACATTTTTGGGTTTCACCCAATAGTAATCAACCAGGTTTTTTTTTAGGAATATGAGTGAGGATATGAAAATATGCATTGGTACTTCTGGATTTCATTTATTTATTTATTTTTTTATTGAAGTACTCTCTACACCCCGTGGGGGGATCGAACTCACGACCCTGAGATCAAGAGTCACATCCTCTCCTGACTGAGCCAGCCAGGTACCCCTCACTTATAAAGTGGAGAGACTTGGGGAAATAATATTATCTTTTTATCTACTTAAAAACTGTCAAATGCTTCACTGAACACTTAGCTTGAAAGGCGTAATAAACTCTTGTAGAATATATACCCCCAATTTATAGATTATTTGCAATGGCTTAGATGTGAGGATTGACTAATTTTACCAAGGTAATCTAACTTCTAGTAGATAATGGAGATTTACTTGGCAAAACTTTATTAACTCAGTTGGGCTAGTAATATTGCATCTTTAAATGCAATTTAAAAGTATTTAATTACAGCTCTGTCAATGGCACAACTAAACATATTAAAAATTTTCCCCTGAAAACTATGAGGGGGAAAATGTGTTTGTGAGACATTAATGATTTAAAAACTTCAATTTTCTCATTTCATATTAATCTACAAGCAAACCAGTGTTTTATTAAGGAGTTGCCATAATCTTCTTCTATGGTTTTGAAATAAATAGACTTACAAACATTGCTAAGATGTCCGACACCTTCCAATAGTCCCAACTTCAACAGATAATGCATGAAAACACAAAAGTTTGGCTCATGTTTTTCATTGTAAACTTGGATGACACTTCTTTTATTCACTCCTTTTCAGAAACACATTTTGAGGTGAGGGCACATTTTTCTTAAATAATGTAAAAACTAGACGCAGGTCAGAGTTGTAGGATCTTTGTCCTTTTGAGAGAACTTCATGAAGAGTATGGCCTATAAAAGGAGACCTGAAACAATTCAAAACATAAATAACATCTCTGTAAGTATCCCTTTGTTATCAACAATAAGTTACCAAACAGTCTGATAAATCCAAACTAAATTTTCATTTTAATATATTCTGGTAGCCCAAGTTTATGATCTGGACTTCAAAGTAGTATTTACTTACAGTTACTTTAAAAACTGAATTTGTGGGGTGCCTGGGTGGCGCAGTCGGTTAAGCGTTGGACCTTGGCTCAGGTCATGATCTCATGGTTCATTGATTTTGAGCTCCGTTTGGGGCTCTGTGCTGACACCTCAGAGCCTGGAGCCTGCTTCAGATTCTGTGTCTCCCTCTCTGCTTTTCCCCTGTTCATGCTCTGTCTCTCAAAAAATAAACATTAAAAAAATTTTTTTTAATTGAATTTGTTATTTGGTGGTATAAGCTAAAGTAATCAATAGTGGCAATCCTGGTACCATGTAAATGGGTTCTACAAAGATCCAGGTGATGTACAAATTTAATTTTGGCATTAAGAGAGGTAAAAGGATTCAGGATGTTTAGTGAATTGTGGCATCATTAAGGTTTTTAAATAACAAACTCATGTCTTCCCCAAAGGTTAGTTAGAATTTCAATGTAGATTGTACTTTTCTGTGTTTCAGTTCAGTTTAGGATGGTGCAGTCAGGATGTGAGGGTGATCTGGCTGCGACATCTGTCACCCCACAGATAACCAGGGTTGATTCGGCTGATCTGGCTGGCTAGGTTGGTGTCCCCTTCCTCCCTCACCGATCCATGTGCATCCTTCTGAAGCTGCGCACTCTGTCGAAGAGGATGACCTTCCCGATAGAGGAGGAACTTTCTTCAGTCAAGGGTATATGAGCTGCGCTGCCCTGCGAGAACCTCCAAACAAGCTCCCAAGGATGGTGAAATCAGATCAGTTATTAAAAGAGAGCTTGGAGGGCCAATCTGATGATCTGGAGAAAACTATCACTTGAGTTTTCTTTTTTCTTTTTGTAAACGAGGTTTTAGGAAGTACCAATAAGCTTTAGTCATTTATGCCTTTGTGAAGGAGACTGCAAAGAGTATTTCTGCATAAAATATAGGCCCTACAATCTGGTACGTGCAAATAAGATTATTTTCCAAAATAATATGGCTCATGGCATTTCTAAATTTGGTCTCAAGAACACTTCCCTATAGCAAATATTGAAAGGAAAACATTCCCAAAGTTTGTCAGTAAAAAGTTTCCAACTCATCTCCAAAAAGTTAGTTGAATGCTTAATTTGTCCTTGATATCTTTTTGCATCAAAGAACTACACATAGTTTTAAGAGTCTGAAAACAGGTAAATTACCCAACAGACCAAGCTTTCCACTGTGTGATATAACCCACAAACTCATATTAGGAGAATCAGACCTGTTGAGGCAAATGGCCCTAAGAGATTCTTACTCTGCATTTTGCTTTCCCCTGGTCCCAGCTGGTTGGTCTTGGTAAGAGACCTGACCGAACAAAAGCCAGTTTGCCTAGCAAAGCTTGTAAGTTGGGCAAATATCAAAGGAAACATCAACAAGTGATGAAAGATTAACTGAGCCGATCAGATTATTTTAGAAATTAATTTTTTAATGTTTATTATTTGTGAGAGAGAGAAAGCACAAGCAGGGGAGGGACAGAGAAAGAGAGAGACACAATCCGAAGCAAGCTCCAAGCTCTAAGCTGTCAGTAGAGAGCCCGACGCAGGGCTCAAACCCACAAACCGCGAGATTATGACCTGAGCCAAAATCAGACACTTAATCAACTCAGCCAGGCACCCCTATTTCAGAAATTTAGACAAGATACAGGAGAAAGAATTCAGGGGTTTGTATAAATAGACATGAAATGACAGAATAACTAAGGCACGCTAGGGTTTTGAGCCCACACCCTTGGGAGGCAAGAGCTCTTGAAGCTGTCATTGAGCTGCTGTCAGATTAGTACTCCTGTTGTATCTGGAAATTACCCACTCTCAATGAAATGTGGCCACACAGTCAAGATCCCTTTATATTTACACAGGTCCCTGCAACAAACACTCCATTACTTAAGCAAACCTTAATGAGTTCTTTCACCCAAAGAGGCTTACTAACAGACCTGCCTTGCTAAGAGAAAAGAGAGTGTAGGTATAGTGTTACACTCCTGTGATTGTTAGCACGTATTTTGGAACTCTAGACCAGTGGTTCTCAAATTTGACCAGGCATCAGAATCACCTGGAGGCCTTGTTAAACCACAGACTGCGGGCCCAGGGTGGAACCCACAGTTTGTGATTTAGTAGGTCAGGAGTAGGGAGAAAGAATTCTCATTTCTATCAAGTCTGCAGATGAGGTTCAAGTGGCTAGTCTGGAAGCCGTGGTTGGAGAATCACTGCTCTACAGGGGATGGTCCTCAACCTTGGATGCACACTGGAACGACCTGTGGAACATCAGGTCTCCTTGGGTCAG